CCCGGGCCCGGTTCGAGCACACACACAGACCCACAGCCAGGCTGCGGGTGTGTGTGTGTGCTCCGGCCGAGCTCGGGCCGGGCCGAGCCGTGTCCCAACCCTCCCGCAGACCCCACGCAGCAACCAGGAAACAACACCAGTGAGCCAGCTCACACTGTCCGCTCCAGCAGCGAGCCCCGCAACGTCCCGCCAACACGGCACCCACAGAGTCATTTTCTGGTTGCTAACAAACGCCATTGTAACACATAATCACTGATGGTCCGCTCTAACGGTGGTGGACTCATCAGAACAGAGTGGGCGAGCTGACCAATCAGAGCACAGTGGGCTCACAGGGAGGGGGAGGGGGGGGGGGTTGAAGGAGCTCCAACAAGGCATTTAGGACAGAGAGTGAATACACATACTCTGCAGAGATGCTATATGAGAAACCAATGTGAGTTTGGAAAATTGAACAATATAAATCTATTCTAGTAGACCTCAACAATGGAATTATGATCAGTAGAAATGGCCATGACATGGGACCTTTAAGTTATCTAGAATTGTTTGATGACTATATTTGGAAAAAGTTACAAGATATGATTTATTTTCAACAATTCCACAAGTGTAACATCTATTTCACAATCTTGCCTGCACAATATTGGTTTAATTTGGAAGTATGATCCTTTGTTTGAAATGTACAGAGTGTGTATAGGCCTTGTCATCTTTGCAACATCTTGTTGCTAACATATTTTGGTACTGCATTCCGTTACATTGTACTGAAGTTAGATATACTTTTAGGTAGATGTACTTATGGAATGGAGGCGTTCTGAAATTAGGGCCTCCACATTTTATTTTCCGGTTGTGGTATGATTATATACTCTAATTGCAGTAATATAATCATCACATTAAACTAAGAGGGCTAACAAGGTTAAGTGCAAAACATCAGCTTGGATCCACTTGTGGTTGCAGAGTCCTAAAAAAGCAAATGAAAAGTTTGCTTTACATAAAGTCGACAAGAAAAGAGATTTTATTTGCACCCTGGCTAGCTGCTTGGTTTTTATCTTGTCCATTTTCAGCTGGAGATTTCCTAAAAACATCTTGACAATTAATAAGGGAAAGCCACATGATCTCATTTAGGAGTCATTATGTCTCAGCAGCCACATTTTTAGAGACAAACCAGTTCCTGTAGAGTAGACAGATAAATCGAGCAGTAAGGCACTGGGACCTGAGAAACAGCCGATCATTGCGGCTCGGTGTATTTTTAATAGTGATGTTGCATAATGCAGCTATAACCCATATAATTTACAGTTAAAGTAAGGCAAAAGTCTTTTTTAGGTCCAGTGAATTAAGTGTCAGTCATACCATGTATGTCTCAGTTGAAGGTGAGGTTTGTCCGTTACGTTCCAAGGGTATCTGGGGAGTTTTTCATGCAGTGAAGGCTTTCGCAGATGCAAAAAAAAAAAGGCAAGGGTCCAAGGCAAATCCAAGGCAGGCGGAGTCAAGTGGTAATCCCGCTGGAGGTTAGAGGAGTGTACAGCTGCAGTGATTAATCCAGTGAGGCTCCAGCTGAAGGTGCAGTCAGACTCAGATTACCTCCATTACCTTCCATGAGTAGCGGTAATGACATCTTCACTCCAGGTTGCAAATTAACCCTTCCTAGTTGACTTTTAACGAGGTTCAATCTGATTTAGCATTAAAATATGATTTGTCATTCAGAAAATGTTGATGTTTTTATGTTTGTTCAAATCTGCTCTGAACAACAGATGCAGGGACTACAATGAAAAAACTGAAACGTTGACTTTGTTTAAATGTATTATCACATTACATTACAAGTGCTACTTTCTTTCTTCTTTTTTTCTATAAGGTCAAAAGATTACATATCATTGTAATGAAAGCAATAATATTTCAATATTATAATAAATGTTTCAATAAAGAACATTAGGCTCAACTTAATAGTACTGGTTTCAACTAACCTACAGTAATACAGTTATGTGGAATCTGACATAAAACATTTAATTAAAGTCAGCGGTTCAGTTTTTTTAGCGTACCTGAAACGGATCTCCAACTAAAAGCAATGGGATTTTTCCATTGGATTTTGGAACATTGCAGATATAAGATCTGAGGCAAACAAACCTTTATGAAATTAACATATTTTGTAACGTCACTTTTATGATTTTGGGTCTAAAATTAGGCAATAGTGAGTACTCAATTTATTCAATATTTCGTTATATTGTGTATTATTGAGATACTGTAAGGCGACATGTCTTTTTCTATTGTGAATTTGTATATACTTGCTGCTGATGTTAATAAAAAAAAAGTTTATTCTCACTATATATTCTTGCCGCTAATGTACATTTTTATTATATTTTTATCTTATTGTATCTTTCAATTTTTTTTAACTCTTTTAATGCTGGACATTGCTGCTGGAACAAAATCATTTCCCAATTTGGGATAAATAAAGTATATATCTATCTATCTATAAAGGAACTACATCCCTGTCACACCACCGCTAGGCTTAAGACGGCCAATGTTTGCATGATGGCGTTTAGTAGTCTCATTTCGTCACAAGACCATCATTTTTATTACACACACAAGCTTGAGACATTCACTAGTGTGGTATTACCTGAGATAATTTATGTTGTAGAACTAAATGTAAATGTTTATTAAGCTTGTGGTAACCACAGACTTTATTTCAGGCATCTAACCAAAAACACGTTAAAAAAACATTGTCATCAAGACAGGGGGACGGCAGCTGGTAAAATGCTGACTCATTTCTGGGTTTTAAAACTCATTCCAGCACCATAATACAACAGGTAGAGAAGGAGAGATGCAGATTGGCTGCGATGAGAGCATGGACGTTGTTTAAACTGCAGGACACTGTAGCTGCTTTATGGTGTAGTCTTTACGGTACGTTGTCTAGTGTTGTGGTTTGTCGGTACCTCCACTATAGTGAGTGGAGAGAGAATCACAGATGTGCAGATGGCATATAGTTGCAGGAACACACATCACTAATGATTCACTAATGTCGCTACAAGGCTACACTTGTTCATGCAGAGGTAACAGGTGTAGTGTTTGTTTTGATCACTGGGACGTGTTGAAACTACTGTAACACCACATTAAATTATTGTATCTTGCAAATGGGTCATAGCATTTTGCAAATTTGGTAAAACAAACCCCACTGTTGTAATTTATTGAACAATAACAAATAGGGAAAATGGCTTTGATGAATATAGGAGATGCTTTTTTATGTTGGGAAATGAGAAGCATAAGGGAAGATTTGAAGCAATTCGATACTAAACTCACCTTTCAACTCATGAAATTCTCGTAAAATAACCAATTACAGAAAACATGCTGCCACAAAAAGACTGAAGCACAGATTGTTTCTGAATCATCAGTGTTTTATTTCCTCCTACCCCTTATAATAATGTTTATTGGTGTCTACTTTAAATGTGAAGACTGTTCCCACATATTAACATTAGAACATTTAAAATGTGTTTTGATTAAAGTGTGCTCCAGAGACTGATGATTTGAATCTGGTCCTGGTTTTGATGAGTGATGTGGATTGGGTAGAGGAATTCTACAGCAACAACGCGTGAAATGACAGCTGACACCAAAGAGAGGAGAACATGATGATTGGCTGTTGTAGATCGTGTTGAAAGAATGGACGCCCATGATCAGCCTAGAGCAGGGGTGTCAAATTCAAACTTACTGAGGGCCATTCTGACGGTTGTGAAAAAAATCAGGGGCCATGACATTCATTACAGTGATTCTTGTTATGGTTACAACTCATATACATGACTCAGAGATAACGTCAATGCAGCCAAACTGGCGTGTTTATTCACAATCAAACCAAACACATGACTGGCGAGAACCTGCCAGGAGAGGGCACATGGATGACAGGACCATAACAAATATGTTTAGAACTAGGCTAGCAGTTGGATTAAATAAAATAAAAATAGTGTGTTCCCCCTTCATATTTGTGGATAATTCTTTATATCAGCAAAATAAGATGAAAGTGCTGTCAATAGCATCAAGTGCAAAACCAATGCTGTTTTTAAAGATAATAATAATTTAAAAAAAAAAGAGAAGTGCACAATTAAACAAACTACATTAGCAGTCTAGCCTACAGTAGGTTCAGTTTATAACAAAATAGTTCACAATTAAACAAAACCATTAGGACTACTACTGTATCTTTCAACACAACAAATGTTTTCTGTGATAACACAAAATAGTCAGTGCAACAAGGCCTATCTGAAATGCATTGTAGTTTAACTTTTACCAGACACTCTGCACCTTTTCTTACAGATGATCTTATCTATTCTAGGCTTAATGTCCTTTGCTGTGGCCACTTTCAATACCGACGTCAGATGCTGGTCAGTGATCCGGGATCTGTGGGATGTCTTATTCAAGTTCATTATAGAGAACATCTGTTCGCACGAGTAAGTGCTCCCGAACATGGACATGATGTTTGCAGCATGAAGACGCAACTCTGGCACAGATTCAGGGAGGAGAGGTGCAAACTCAGCAGCCCCGACTGACTGGTACTGGGTCTTCAGAGCGCTGTTACATTGCAGTTCAATGAGTTCCAATTGCAGGTGCTCAGGGGCAGTGTCGACATCAATTGCAAAAGGATTTGCGAACAGGTCAATGTTGAATTTCTGTGATTCAAAATCAGCAAACCTCCTGCTGAATTCCTCTTTGAGTGTGTTCAGTTTGTCAGCATACACTTGGGTCGGGCGTGGAATGGTGACGGTGGCGCTTATTGTTTGACAGGTAGGAAAGTGGGTCAAATTACCTCTACGCATCTGCCCCTCCCACAGACGCAGTTTCAGTTCAAATGCCTTCACGGAGTCCCACATCTCTGTGATCAGCTGCTTTCTTCCCTGGAGTTTCACATTCAGTGAATTGAGGTGCTCAGTAATGTCACACATAAACGCCAAGTCGCCCAGCCACTTTTCATTCTCAAGCTCGGGGACGGGCCTCTGTTTGCTTTCCATGAAACGAGCGATCTCAGTGCGGGTGTCGTAAAACCTCCTCAGCACTTTCCCCCGACTCAACCAGCGCACCTCTGTGTGATAGGGCAGATCCTCTTGCACGGAGTTCTCCTCCTCTAAAAGAGCCCTAAACTGCCGATGATTCAAGCCCCGTGCACGAATAAAGTTCACAGTTTTAGTCACAACAGTCATGACATGTTCCATGCCCAACACCTTACCGCAGAGGGCTTCTTGGTGGATGATGCAGTGGTAAACTACCAAGTTTTCTCCTGTGTCCCCCATCGCCTTTCGGGTCAAACCGACCAAACCCCGAACTTCCCCGCACATCGCCGGTGCACCATCCGTTGTCAGTCCAACAAGTTTACTCCAGGGTAGCTCCATCTTGTTCACGCTCTGCTCCACTTGGGTGAAAATATCCTTTCCCGTTGTTGTCCCGTGAATCGGTTTCACGTCTAAAAGTTCCTCAGTGACGGACAGCTGACTGTCAACCCCGCGGATGAATATGGACAGCTGGGCTGTGTCCGTCCTGTCTGTACTCTCATCTACAGCTAGTGAATATGAAATAAAGTCCTTGGCTTTTGTTTTTAGCTGGCTCTCTACATCGGAGGCCAGTTCATCAACG